CCGGGAAGAAGCCGAATGCACTTCCACCTTGTAAAAAAAAGGTAAAAGTGAAAAAGAAATGCGTACCTTTTATAAAAAATGTTTAAATTGTCCGCCATTCGCTTCAATGCAACACTGACAGCGACGTACCCAGTTGCTGCGAATTTTGGCCCAGATACCGGGAATATTTCGAATTATACGATAGGCATTGGTAATGTAACTCACCACCAACTGACGGTTGAATAAGAACCCTACTAGAATGCACTATCACATTGTTAAAATTTCTTTTCTATTTGAAATAACATAATACTCGACGTCATGGACTACATTAGGTCCACTTTACGATCATGGGATTTTCGATTGTGATAGGTACAGAGTTTTTCTAACGTGTTTCAGTCATCTAATGGACCTTAACGCGAGTGCATTTTCTTCGGCTAATCCGTAACTTAATACCAAACATAAACAATAACATCAACCCAAAAACCAGCAGATTCCGACCTACTGAAGGTGAATTTTTCTACGATCAGCTGGCAATCGTAATTAATTTGCGATTGTGCAGGGCCGGCATCGAAACTGTTATGATTTTATAATTTTTTATTTTGTTTCAAATGTCAAAAGTGTTATAACATTTTATGTTCCAAATGCTCGTAGGAATCTGTGGTATAAATATTAAATATTATAACTGGGACACTCTATATAGAAACTTAACTTACCAAAAAAAAAAATGGATCTAATGCTTTTGTTTATTTTGTAGTATGTTTTCACANGTAGGAATCTGTGGTATAAATATTAAATATTATAACTGGGACACTCTATATAGAAACTTAACTTACCAAAAAAAAAAATGGATCTAATGCTTTTGTTTATTTTGTAGTAAGTTTTCACATTCGTTGTCCTCATCAAAACCAATATCACTGTCACAGACATCAACAATTAGTTCTTCTGTTTGTATGTCTATTATTTTCTCATTATCTAACATAACATTTAAATAAATCACGTTAAACTGTGGTATAAATATTAAATATTATAACTGGGACACTCATATAGAAACTTAACTTACCAAAAAAAAAAAATGGATCTAATGCTTTTGTTTATTTTGTAGTAAGTTTTCACATTCGTTGTCCTCATCAAAACCAATATCACTGTCACCGACATCAACAATTATCTCTTCTGTTTGTATGTCTATTACTTGCTCATTATCTAACATAACATTTAAATAAATCACGTTAAACTAAATTATTGCACCTATTTTTGGTTTATATAAACTTTAAATATCTATAACAAGAAAATCAACCGAATAAATTAATTTTTTTAATTAAATTTTGTAAACTGATCCCTGGTTTAAAAATATTTAATCTACTTAAATACTGAAGAAAGAGGACTGCAATTGTTATAACTAAAATTGCCTACTTTTTCCACCGCGCATTCATACCATTTTAAAATTTCCGCCAGCTTCGAGCTGTACCTGTGTATTCCCTTTAGAATGCGGTTTTCGTAAAACTCGTCCTTAATGCGCCCTTACGTAAAAGTCAGAATATGCTGTCAAAATTTCATTGATCCAATAGTTTCGGCTGTGCATTGGTTGATTTTATTAGTCAGTCAATCAATCAGGTCAATAAGCTCCTTTATCTACCTGTGCGTAGAGAACTTAAAAAAAATATATTATTTAAGCTTCCATTCCTGAAATATATAAATCAGTTTCCTTTTTGACACGCAGGAAGGTTTGATAGTGAAGGCAACAGAATAAATTACATCAGAAATTATTTTGTGACAAACCTAATTTGTTTGATTGTAATACTTATTATTATAAACTGAGTATAATTACTAACCTACAAGAGTACTATAAAAAGTATAAAGCTGAGATTTTAGCCTTAGTACTGTTTAAGTTTTACGGTAATAGTCGTACCTACGATTCCTAGTGCAACTAAAAAAAGGTAAATTTAATGTAAGTATTATAAAAAATATTTGGTAGTTAAAGGATATTTTTTTTATGGAAAATGGAATTGAATAATTTTCCGTATTGATTAAATCCTTTGTGGTCAATATTTCCATATTAACGTTAGGTATATTAAACCAATTTTTTATTAACTGTTAACCTGTGTTCTGATTTTAAATTTGTTTTAACACTTTTCATTCAATCGCAAGTTAATTTCAACTAAAACATTTTTTGGTTGTTATACTGTAGAAGTAAATCTATAAAAGTACTTATAGACATTGTACAGAAAAATACTATTCAAAGAACTGTAAAATTAATGCCATTTAAACGATTCAGATTAAGACTATCCGCTATTGTTACATTTACATTTATATATTACGACCATCTTATAATTTCAGGAATTTGCATCTTGTATATTTCATTTTACATATTACTAGGTTTTACCCACGGCGTCACTAATCTAATTTCTTCTATTCCTCGGGATCGGTAGATTTTTCTCAATAAAGAGTACCCTATGCCTTTTTTTGTACCCCTGCCAATGTGTGTAGAAAGTTTCATGATGATCGGCTGCCTAGTTGAGACATGAAGTCGTAACAAACAAACTTACATTTGCAATTATAAAATTATTTAGTATGGTACTAAAGAACCTATTTATATTCCCAGTCTCATGAACTTCATGTTCCCATTCAATTCCATTTTCGAAATTTGTGGGAGGTTTTATCATCTATGCTCGCGAACGGTTAATTTAGAAACTCCGAAAAGGTTGTTAAAGTGTATGTTTGGAGCTCGGCGCTGTAGGGCTCCGAATCATGGACAGTGGGCGCGACGGAAAAGAAAAGGTTAGAAGCGTTTGAAATGTGTCGTTACAGGCGAATGATGAGCATACCGTGGATAGAGAAGGTTAGAAATGAAGAGGTATTAGAAAGAATAGGAAAACAGAGGACTCTATGGGAGTCAATCAGAAATAGGCGAGATAGGTTGTTAGAACACCTTCTCAGGCATGAAGGGCTAGTCAGAGACATATTACAAGCAGAAACAGGAGTTAAGAGGAGTAGATTGGATTACTGAGTAGATAGTTACCCGAGATAAAAATGTTCAGTCTCTCAGAGTCTCTGTCGAGAGACTGTCAAAAAAATTGTTTAGCGTCTCTGAACGAGAGACTCGAACCGCTCATAGAGAGATCCTCATTTCGTATCCAGCCTCTGAACGAGAGACTCGAATCTCCGAACGAAAGACTCGAATCTCTGAACGAGAAGCTCGAATCTCTGAATTAACAATTTTATCATTCGAGTCTCTCATACAGAGACTGTGAGAGATCCATAAAAACACCTACGCAATAACTGAGAGACTGTGAAAGACTGTTAGAGACGCTCTCATAGACGCTGAAAGACTCTGAGAAACTGGAGAGAGACTGAAAATTTTTGTCTAGGGTAAGGATGTGGGTTGTTCTAGTTTTGGGAAAATGCGAAGAATAGTTCCGGAAAGGAAAGAGTGGAAGTGTGTGTCCAACCAGTCTGAGGACTGACGACCTTAAGATAATGATGATCATAATAAAAATGAAAAACGTTTTACCCTCCGTAATATTTTGAGCTTACAATTAATAATTGTATTGAACGAATTGATAAAGCATGATTTTCTGCGCCTTGAAAGGTACTTACAGCTAATTTTTATTTATCACATTTCCATATTTTTCGAAATAAATTCTTTCGCCGACATCAATCAAAGCAAACCTGTAAACGAGTTTGGTTACTACACTAATCAATCCGTTTTATGATTCATTTTCTTTTATGTTACAGGCAATAAAAAATCACATGCGGCCAGAATGTAAATGTCACGGCTTGTCGGGTTCTTGTACTTTGCGAACCTGTTGGCGTAAAATGCCGTCGTTTCGAGAGGTGGGAAACCGGCTTAAGGAGCGATTCGATGGGGCGGCGAAGGTGATCGCAGGTAACGACGGTCACAGCTTCATTCCCGAAGGTGAAACGATCAAGCCACCGGGTAAAGTCGACTTGGTTTATTCGGAAGAGTCGCCTAAATTTTGCACGCCCAACAGTACCCTGGGCTCGCTCGGTACTCAGGGTAGGCTTTGCAACGCGACGTCGTTGGGCGAAGAGGGTTGCGATATTTTGTGTTGCGGCCGTGGCTACAACACTAAAGACATTGTTGAGGAGAAGAATTGCTTTTGTAAATTCCACTGGTGTTGTGAGGTCAAGTGTCAAACCTGTAAAGTGAAACGCACTGTGAGCACGTGTCTTTAGCGTATAATGAACGAAATGTAAATGTTATAATAAGATGATGTAAGATAAACTTGTATATATAGTTGTTAACAAGTTCGGAGCTATATTTTTACATAATTTTCGTAATTTACACGATTGTTATTTATGAGCCTCTCACGACGATTTGTATTTATACTAATAAATTATGTACAGTTAACATACACGTGTTTATTTACTTCACTATACACCTTATAATGGGACCAACATGTTATTCACTTTGACCGACTTCTAATAACAATACCTTCGTGCATATGCATGTAAGTAAAAAACGTAGATAACAAAGGAGAACAGTATAAACACCCACTTACATCAAGAAAGATATAGCAAATTACGTAGAATGGTTTAAAAAAAAGTAACCAAGAACTCATGTGAAACAGTGCACTTGTGGTTGACTGTTTTACCTTTGACTAAAACTGAACCGAACTTAAAGCTTGGAAAAATTAAGGGCGCAGATACACGAAGGTGTGCGAAATAGTAATCCTTGGGTATTTACCGATAAGCCAGGAGGATTTCGATTAGTAGACATCGATAGGTACCGCCTGCAATAATTTTCTCTAAGAGATGCAGAAGAGTAATCCATAGGATTCTGTTTTCTTTGTATTGAGAAACGGTAAAATTGATCTAAGAAAATCCTTGAAGCAGTCTTCGGAATCAATCCCTTGAAGATTCTTCTAAAGATTTAATGACCTAGTCTAAGTTCATGTTATATATGCATATACAATTGCAACCTTCGACCAATCCCTATGGTCTTTTCCAGACTTCTACTTCAACTTTTTTAAACATCTTTCGCTTGATTTTGGTAGACTCCCTTTTATTCCTTTATGTAGGTGATGAAGATTTTTCGAAATAAGATATTAGTAGTGGGCGTAGTTAACAAGAATTCAGTGTCTCAAGGTTCATTTGAATCAAACTATTAGGTGGCAGTAGACACATCAATATTCATCCTGAAGCGCAATGAAATAAAATGAGATATTTTGGTATAGTAAAGAAATACCTTTGTTTGAGATTAAGTAACGACAAAAATTCTGTCTGAAAATCGTTACAATTTTTTTTACATGTAAGTTTGCGCTTTTTCTCCATTTTCATCTTATCAAAATTTACGAATCTGTTTAGGAATCCGTCAAACTGCGTATTGCGAAGAAATGCGTAAATATTTGAACAAACTTGCTATATTCAACATTTTTGGAAATTTGTGTATGTGTATTTTAACAAAGAAATGTCTGCAACATATCAAACTATACGGATAGCTGTCAGTCAATCAATAAACATCAGGAGTAGCTACCATCTGTTATGCCAATAATTTATATGTTACAATCGTTAATTTGCGTTTTGCTTTATTTATTGTGATAGCGTTTCGCCAAAATGCGCCCGAAAAATCTAATAATAAACGGATAAACTATGAATTATAAATCTTCAACATAACTTCCTTTTCAAGGCATAAATATAAAATTTAAGAATTGTTTTTCTAACAGAATAATAAGAAAGAAAACAAATTATTTAATATTATTTTATTGAAGTCATCTCCTTAACTTTTCTATAACTATTTTTGTGGGTTAGCTAATTTTTGTTCGTTTAATTTTGATTATTAAACACATTAATATCTAAAATAAACATTGTATCCACAACACACCCTTCAAATNTGGATAGAGAAGGTTAGAAATGATGATGTACTGGAGAGAGTAGGAGAACAGAGGGCACTAAGTCAGCAAGAAATAGGCGAGAGAGGTTGGTATAATTAACAGAAACAGGAGTTGAGAGGAGTAGATGTAGATTAGCTTACTGTTCACAAAAATTTAAGGATATGAGATGTTCAAGTTTTAGGGAAATTCCAAGATTAGCTTAGGAAATGAGGCTCAGTTTATGTAGGTAAATTAACTAAGTAATGCTGGCAACATTGCTGAGAAGGATGAACGAAATGCTGGACTCTGTCCAGTATCGGCATCGGCAAGCAGCGATGCTGCGTAGATTGTTAATAATTACGTGCCATCCGAGATGTATTTACTTACTTGCATAACCTCTCTTCGAGGCATTCCGTATGTCAAACCGGTGGCAAATTTATGTTGACGCTCGGGAAATGCAAGCGGCTCGCCGATCCAATACCTGCTACTACCACTTCTTATTATTCTTCTTCACTCACTTCTTCTTCTTCTTCGGAATCTTATATTCTAAGAGGTCATTCTCCACTAAATCAAACAAGGATTCATTGTCGACCGGGGAACTCCTAATGATGCTCCGCACTTTTTGTCACTTTAAACAATACGTTTGGGGGCATTTTATTGTGCCGTTGCCATTGAAATAGCAGATGGATTAAAGACGGGGGAGCTTTTTGATGATTCTTTATATTTAGCGTTTTATTATAATATTTTTTATCGAATAAATACGCGTCGTTTCATGTTGAACTTGGAAAGACATGTTTGATACATAACAGCAAAGTCCATCTCACATAAAATACCAAGGGGACTGTCATCCCGGCAGTTTAGGATATAGTGAACGCACATATGCATATGTATTAAGTCTACGTTTATTTTTGCTTGTTGACTGACAGCAACGATGCTGGGCTGTCGTTTTGTTATCTCGTTCAAAATCTGATTGAAACAGTGCAAGACAGTTCTTAACAGCACGTTCAGATCAGCGAAGCTCCAACTTATTATAATAGTAGTAGGCGCAAATGCAGATATACAACCTATACATGGTCTAATCGTCTCAATATTCGGTTTTTATTACTTTTTGATAGAATACTTTAACGTCATTACGATGGCTGTTTTACATTCAATAGAAAATTAAAATAAATGTAGAGGTAGTTGAGAATCTCATGACGTTGGGTTACGCAACGACAATACTCCACCCTTTTATTTATTTCTACATTTCTACATTGTTGTCGTAATGTACTGTATGAAAGGAATAAGATCTACCTCTCGTCCATATGAAGGCCCATGAAATTTTAAACTAGCTATAACAATACCACATTATATTTACGCTTGGAGCAGTACAACTTTTCTGAAAAATGTTCTTAATAAAATAGAAAAATTAACACAATAACAGATGTCTTTTCTTGCTTTGTTGCTAGTAGGCATATAAATTGAAATGTGAATTCATTATTAAACCGAGCGGTAAGGCCTAGGCCTAGAGATTTAGAGTATTCTTTACCATTCATAAGGACACTGGTTTGATTCTTCCGGGTCCATCTCTCTTGATCCAAGTTTCTCTGTGATTTACTCGAACTGCATTTTTGTTCTGTATTTTGATCATCATAAATATTAAAAATTGACACACGTTTAGTGTATGAAATACTTTTTTGTTACATATAGATGCACCTAAGCGTATTGCACTTAAAATTTATGTGTATAGTAATTAATATGAAATCTTCAAATATGGAATGCCCAAAAAAGTCTTGATAGTCCTACATCAGGTTATGTGTATGTCTATCGTCTAGAAAACATCATGACCTGGTGTTTTCAAATGCTACCATTTTTATTTTTGTTTTCAAGTTAATTACAAAACAAGAATAAGGATAAACCATCCTTGTCTAATGATTCACCTTTTAGACTCACGTTTTCTTATCTCAAAAGCTCATTCACATATCCATTGTCCTGACAACTGTATTGAACAAAAATTCAGTTCAGTTAAAAAATAAAAATTAAGTGTAAAAACTTCTAACCCAGTTGAATTTCTACTATTTGGACCATCCTTTTTAACTCTATATACAAAACAAACAAATCACATACTCCTCAAGGACTATTCACAACATAGCATATGTTTCTTGGAATATTTGAGAAAAAAATGCAACAACATCGACAAAAATTTGATTTTCTCATGGAAAGCAAGTAAATATTTAATTATAATAATTAAAAATTAATTCTTAATCCTGAAAGAGACTTCTGTTCCTAAAAATTGTGTTCTCAATTCCGTGAAATGTTTTGTGTAATAAGATTTAGTTGGAAATGTAACCAGACAGACGAATTGACTTAGGTATTTCTACAAATGTTCTACAAGGAGACACGATATCGAATGAGATTAGAATTAGACAAAGTGATACTTATCATTCATCGATCTGAAGAGCTAAAAGAAAAAACGTATTTGTAAACTATTAACTTAATTGAATCGGAAGGTATATTGATTGCCTATAATGTATCAGTCGTAAAATCAATAAATCCAAAGTGTGTATGTGTGTGTGTTCATTAAGGCCATTCGCTCGGTGTATATTTACACTAATAAAGATTTTCCTCACTCTCGCTGTCGGTCGTAATTCAAACTTCTTGTATACATAAATTTTTACGCCAGCAGTTTAAAGCAATTTATAAAGCACGCAAAAAGAGTGCCGCAGTAACATCGTGGGAAGATTAGGTGGCGTTTAATTTTACGAAGTAAATCAATAAAATGTATCAATGTATTATCTAGCAGTTGATAGTACTTATCGAGAAGAATTCAAAATACTAACGTCGTTCGTATTCCATCAAACAAAAAATGTCTTAGGCGTCTTTAAAATATTCGATATTGATTATAGATATGTTTACATAGTAAATTTTAAAAATTAAATTATAAAAATGAGGAGGTAAGGTAAAGGTATAGATGATGGCCCCCACCCCCGAAGTGGGTGGGGTAGGGGGAATCGAAAGAGGAGGTCTCTCCCACCAGTGTACTATAAAAAGTTCGTGGCGGTCTCACCCCCATAAAAAGTTATGGTAAGTTATCTTAAAC